GCCCCCCTTCTCCCACACTCTCTGCCTCGTTCACCTCCTGCGTCTCCTGCTGTATTATGGCATCCCTCCTCCCTCGTGTGTTTTTTTTCTGCTACTTCTTCTTCTTCGCGCATCTGCTGCTTGCACGACCTCAGTTGCCACTCGGCTCGAACTTTTTTCGCTTGCGCTCTGCTACCTGCCCATACCTCACGGCAGCAAACCTACCCGCCAAACGCAAGCATCGATGTTCAGACGGTGACGCGCCCCCTTTCACCACCATCGACAATAGTATTTCCGCGGCATCGTGGGCGACTTTTTCGTCCACTTGCCGGGCCAATAACGTTCCATGCGGCGGAGCCCTCGGCATCTTACTCGAACGCTCGGTCACGCTGTGGACGGGGCCCAACCCACCGCTGCGCACAGATGCCTCCTGGGCTCATCGGGAAATTCGGACACTGGAGGCTGAGCTCCTCGCGACACGCGCGGGGGGCGACGCCGACGCCGAACTCCCCTCCGTAGACCCCGTCCTCGCCATCGAGGATGCGCCGGCGACGCTTCCCATCGCCGGCAAGCCCCCGGCCGTGGACGCCCAGGCTTCGTTGCCCGAAGGCCCTGGCCCTGCCAGAGAACCACCCTGGAGAACCGACCCAGAGTTCGACGATTTCGCAAAGAACCTTTGTCGGGACGCTTCGGCTGCGTTGTCCGCGTGGACTCGCATGGACCAGCGCGTGGTCACCATGCACCGCGCGTACGACACAGTTCGGTCCAGCCTGGCGTGCACCGAATCCCACGCGCTGCCGTGACTGTCCTTGCTGCACATCGTGCCTCGCCGTCGACCTGTTTGCGCCGCGTTAGCGGCGTTAGCCACAACCTCCTCCGAGCCAACAGAGGCCAACGCACGCGCCACGGCGGACGCCATCCGCACCTACCCCGCGAAGGAGACTCGCTGGGACACGCTGCGCCCAGCGGGGGGCACAACCGTTCTCGACCAACTCCTGCGTAGCCCCACGGGCTTAGACAGCCTCCTGGACCACGCCAGGGCCATCGCAGATTTGCAGCCCGAGGCCAGAACACCACGAGCCCTCGACCTGACCCTCGAAACGTCCAAAACGGAACTTCCCGTCTTGCACGCGGGGTGCAAAATCCACCCGGGTGCACCATTCGACGCCCTGGCTTCCAGGACGGTTGACAAAAAATGGTCCGTCGACGATTGGGGCGCAATCGCGCGCTACCTCCCTGGAACATCCGAGGGCGCAGCCGAGTTGGGCATCCTCAACCTCGCTGCGGCGCGCCAGCACCTGGAATGAATAATTCGCCGGCCCAACGGGCCGGGGGCGTGCTAAGATCTCCGGTAACCGGTGAACAATATCTCTAGTTCGCGCGAGCGGAGCGGCCCCCGGGGGACCCCCGGGCGAAAAGTACCCCAGCGAGGCCCTAGGAGAAGACCCCAAAGCGCTCCAAGGGAGGGCCATTTTTCGACACCCCTCACGAGGACCGTGGCCTCCGAGGGGGGAGCCGCAATCGACTAGCCCCCACCCCGCCCCAAGAGGCCCCATGAGCCTCCCAAGAGGCCTTGGGGGCCTCCAAGACGCCGCCAAGGAACCCCGAGAGACTCCGGAGAAGTCCACAAGAGGCCCGAAAGAGGGCTCCAGGGCCGGCGGAATGAGCGAAGCGATTAAATAACCGCTTCGACAGAGAACAAAAACAACTCCGACTTTGGGACCTGAATGCCTTTTTACCGCAGCGTGCGCACCGTGAACCCGTGAGACCGTGCGCCTACATCGACGTTCCAATCCTGTGAGCCCCTTGAGCCCTATGAGCCCTATGAGCCCTATAAGCCCACTGAGCCCTGTGTGCCCTATGAGCCCTATGAGCCCTACGAGCCCTCTGAGCCCTATGAGCCCCACGAGGCCCATGGGCCCTATGAGCCCACTGAGCCCTATGAGCCCTAATGGTACTGGTACGGGAGAGCAGGAACGATTAGGAGGCAACATGTCTCCAAGTGCCAACTGACGAGAAGGAAATGGGACAGGAAGAAGAAGGAGTAACTGCACACACGTCGAGCACCCACCCGGCCCCAACTCCATGTTCGGATCGGCCTCCATCGAAACTACCACAAAGGGCCCCGAAAAAAGTATGTGAAGCTTTCAAAATTGAGAAGTTAGTCTCATGAAACCGTGAACCGCATCTACCCTCCCTTGCTTCCCAAGTCATTTGTCCGCCTCCTTTTTGTCCTCCCGAACAGTCCATTTACAAACGTTGCGACCAGGGCATGGCGGGGTCACGTCGATAGACTCAGACAGGGAAAGCAAGGTATCATGAGTTTCAGCAACACAACGTGCAAAGGTGATGTTCGCTGTAAAGAACAAGCCCTCAACCCAACGGCAGACAGTCATCGAATCTCCCTTGAATTCAACCGCAACGCAGCTGGGGGCTGGTTCCCACTCCGTCCGAAGACGCTCAACATGCTCCAATATCTACGCCTTCCTTTCCTCCTCCAGACGAATCGTCTCCTCGGATTTGGTCTTGCTTTCCTCGTCACCAGAATTCCTGACAGAGCCTGGCTCTGCCATGACGCAGTACTGCAGCAGCTCGGGGGTCTGCAAGGCTTCAAGCACAGCACGGACAAAGGCGAGCCACCCATGCTCAGTCCAGGAGAAATTCCCCCACCATCTTTCACCGCCAGCTTTCTCAGACAGCGTAACCCACTGGGAGCCGGCGGCAAGCCGTCAACCTGGGTTACCGCCAGGAAATCGTAAAGCTTCCTTGCGATATACATGAATGGGATGCGGGCGCGGCAATCTCGCATTCCGCGCGCGCGAGGGCGCGGTTTCATGGAGGAGG